CCCTACTTATTTTAATGCTTAAATAACAAATACCATGCCCCGCCCCTAAAAATAACCACACAGACACATTTAAATAAAAAATAGTGCGCACCCGTGGCTTTAAAGGGCCTTTCCAGCCTGAAATAGGGGTCGTTTGTTTTATATGAAAATGTTGTGGCAGGTACCAGGACCTGATCATGGAAGTGTCCATGAAATTTCAGCTCGCGACTCGAAGAATAAAGCATATAAAACACTTCTGGAGGTTCCCGTATTGCAACCCAATCATAAACAGTCTGTGACATAACAGGACCAGGATGCCGTCTCCTAAGGATCTCTTTCCCCGTCCTACTCGCTATTGCTTCCTGCCGCGCTGTCCCGCCTGTTGTCAGCGAATTCTATAAAAAAAAGAGTATCACCTTACACCCTTTTGTCTCATATAATGCACCCCAAAACTTTAATTTGACGTACAGCGCACTATAGTCTAACAGACGCCCCAAAATTTACGAGGGGCTTGATAACGGAACGATATAACTTATTAAATAGCTACAGTAAGTATCAAAGACCACAGAAAGAAAACACTGAGGTTTTGCAGTAGGGCCAAGAAAACCCGGATTATTTTTTTTTGTTTGTAGTCAGTTACACGTACATTAACTATTTTACTGAGTTGTACCACACAGCTATCGAGCCTCTCGTGAAAATTAGTACCGTCAGATCGACGTCAGTGCGCTGTAAGTCGAACGGAAGTTTTGGGGTGTATTATATGAGACAAAGGGTGTAAGAATACACCCCCCTTTTTTTTAGAGTGCGCGTCGATCGCGTCGCGTCGCTGAACGCATCCTGGGTTCATTATAGCAGCAACAGCGCGTTACAAATAACGACAAAAGCAGAAGACACATAGAAGTACGACTCAGTTTTCTTCTTCTACTTATTTGCAAAAAAGCATAACTATGACACAAAAAGGAGAACAACAACAACCATTGGGAATCTGCTCAGATCAGATTGACTACATCGCCAAGTAGTGCGTATAAGTCTTTGGCGGAGAAAAAATTGACGGGCCGCTAATACACTTGTCATCGCATCTTCAATGCAACGCCTTTTGTGACCTAAAGATCGCAACCATAGATGGCCAGAGGCAGTCTTGTTTTTGTTATTATGATGCCCTCGCAGCCGATCGTTGAGACATCCGCCACTGTGTCCGACATACAGAGCGGCTTGATGTTAGTGAGGAGCGGAACCAAAATAAAATACGCGACGTCATGATTTGTGGCTGTAGTACCTTGTTACGTTACATGCTTTGTCGAGTGACGAAACAAAACATGTGTGTACCAAAGTTTGAGCTTCTCGAAGTAATCTCCCGATGAAATGTTAGCTATTTTCGTTCGATAATTTGGCTGGCTAATTGAAGGTTCGTAATATAGCGCGAGGCGTGAACACCTAGGATTGCAATTTTTAGGCTGGATAGGCCCTTTAAAGCACGATGTTCACAACACCGGGCACTCAGCTCGAATACTTCATTTCGAGGGGTAGCCACGTGCAACTTCCTCTCAGATTTAATCCATTAAAACGAAACTTTTCATTTTCGAGAATAACCCGCAAACCATTAAAGTGTTCCCCAAAGCCTTTACAAATTTAATGTCGTTGTTTTGAGACGGCGAAATGTATTTTTTTTTTTAGACACCAGGAGAAAAGGCTTACACAGAGTGGTTAGCGTGGCTCTATATAACGTCGCCCATGTGCCCGGTTCAAAGGCATGTCGAAGTCTTGCGGCTCGATTGTTCAATCGTCTCAGATTTCACATTGACAAGAAGCGAATATTTGGCAGCACTACTAAATGTAAGGTTAAACTAAGCGAAACAAATAAATGAACACAATAAATATGTATATATGTATTTTTTTTTTCTTTTTGATTTTTTTTTTCGAAAAAAGTAACGCACATGAGCGTTATCATTCACTGAACGCCTATGTGCCTTCTTAGATTGAAGGCAGCGGGTAACTTTGTAACACGATCCTTTTCTGTTTTGTCTTAGACCTCGAGCCCTTACATCTGGCGTGGGTCTCGGTGTTTTTTTGAAACACAATTCTTATTAAAATATTTATGTTCATGCGTTTTGTTTTCACAAGAGCCTACGGAGAATGGTATTGCCTTTAAAAAAAGGACATCGATGTAATTTGATTAGTATGTTTACTATTTTTGGCTGAGTGATTTATTCTTCGGCGTTTTCAGTAGCTGATGCTGCGACGTCATTGGCTGCATAGCGATAATAGGCTGCCTGGGACGCAACAGGTCCGGTGTTTCCAAGACTGTCAATGCATGACTATAAGAAAAAAAATCTCGCATTAGCAATTAACGTGTTTTTCCGCAATCAAATCATTCCTTACTCACTTTCAAGACAGCCTGGTGGGTTTTGCGTACTTCGGGAAGCTGATTTGCTCCACCTACGGATTTTTGCGGCTCTTTCAACGTCAAAGCGCGGCTGCCGGAAAATATCGCTTATCGAATAAAGGGCGGGTGGAGGAATCCAAGAATTGCTAAAAATAAAAATAAACTCTCTAGCCCGAATTGGGACCGGGAAAGAAACTAACGAGCAAGAGATCTTTGTGTCGCGCTGTACAAGTCTGAAAAAAAAAGTAATTTTGATGTTGGCTTATTGTAGAAACACTGGCTTCACCACCACCAATGGCAAAAAAAAAAAAGCATTAGTGTTGTTGCGTGAAACAGACAATTTACTTGTTATAGCGAAACAATGCCTAGCCTGGTGATAAGCACAAGCGTATTTTTGCCCGTTTCTTAAAAATTGTAATGGACTACAATTACAAATTACCGAGCCTCAAATGTAATAAATTACCGTTGCAAATTACTTTCGCTGAAAAGTAACAAATTACTTTACTCGTTACGTTACAAATTACTCTCGTGTTGCTTTTTTCGTACACTTCTGAAAGAAAAGAATGGCAACAATATTAATGTTTTCAAAAATGTTCCGCGACACGACTTCCCATTTCTCACCCGCCCGCATTATGGTAGTCCCCTTAAAAATAAAATATTGCATTTTAAAGAAAGAATGTAGGAGCACTCCGTTCGGTCTGTAAGCTGACCAAGCAGCGAAAGCTGCAACCACACCCGCCATCCCGCTAGCTTACAGTGACCTAAAATGATCCCTGGAATTTTGCAAACAAAGCTAGAGGTGCGCATGCTCAATATCAATGCTTACTTCCGCTAGAAAATCCGGAAGACAATGCGTACTCGGCTCTGTCTTCTTCATGTTAGTTTTTCGCATATTTGTATATGCCTTGTACGTTTTTCTAGTGGTTCTAGTGACTGCAGGTCATACAAAGAATTGTGTTTTCGTTTCAGTTATTCTCCTCTTCACGATGTTTCCTATTTTGTTGAATTTTCTATCTGTATGCTGCTGAATCGCTTGATTATATTGCTCCAGTTTCTGTATTATATTCATATTTTTAAAAAGTAATGAGTAATTAAAGTAATTCGTTAGCAATATTTGTAACGTAATTACACTAGAAATTACTGCGACGAAATGTAACCAGTCAATTACTAACTTACGTGAAACAGTAACGAATTAACATGTAATTCGTCACTTGTAATGGATTACTTTCAACGTCTGCGTACAAGCATCGCTCCTAAAACAAAAATAAAACTTAAATCTAGATATTAAAAAAAATATATTCATAAAGCATTGTTCCACTCAATGAGGCGTTTATAAAAAAATAGCTCCATACTTTATTTAAAAACTTCTTCCCGACAACGAGACCTTGTTCAAAAATGTTATGAACTGCTATTATAGTACTGGTAGAGCGAGAAATTTCTTAGTGTATTCTCAACAATAGAGACACTTTTTGCCTTTTGTAGCACTATGTCCGTCTCAAGAGAATAATGCAGTTGCTCTCGCTGCAAAGGTCTATTCACGTGGTGCTTCTTTTTTGGGGAGTCTAGTGTCGCGAAACTTTGTTTCGCGAAGCAGATACGTCGTTTGAACGCGACTGAAGATAGCGCGCGCCTTCTAAAAAAGTAGCCGTCGCTTTTATCTTCTGGAGCGAGATTTTGCTGAAACACTGAAACCTCACCGAGGCCTGTCCGATGACAATGGCCGCTCACCATTGGTTTGACTCCTGACCCTCGAGGCGAAGCAAGCTTTTGGAGAAGCCTAATACAAGAAAAGTGCAGGAAAAAAAAAAAAAAAAAACTTGGTGGTAAGCGACACACGGCGGAGCGGTGGGTACGGGCGGTACGAGTTGGTGGCGCGGTGCAGATCTCTCAGCAGCCATCCTCCTGTTCTTTGACGTTCGCGATCTTTTGCCCGGTTTCGCAGTGCAAGTAAACCGAGTGAGCCAAATCCGACGAAGTTTATCGAGTGATATTAATAAAGCAGACTAACGGGCTTCACACTGTGCGCACTTCAAGTTATTTTGATGCCAAGCACCCGATATTCCCGGAGGAGATGACAAGGTTTGTCGAAATTTTTGTGAGTCAGTACGTCACAGATTTTGCGCGTGAGGCTTGACGTGTGAACAGGCCGATTGCGCGAAATCTCGTTTTCGCTAAACCGCTGCGCGTTGAAAAGATGCACCGTGTGAATAAACTTCTTGGAAGCAGAAGCATCTAGTGTGAGCCTTCTCTCATCTAAACTTTTTTTGAAAGTTATACATGTGTGTTGTTGTCCTCCCCTTCATTGGAATCTATTGTTTTTTTTTTGCAAAATAAAACTTTATAGTATATTAATTAAATCAATTAAAATAAATTATATAATGCATCACACATATATAAAGGGGGAAATCACCGGTTTTAAGCTCAGTTTGAATTTTAATATATTCCAGTTACCCTAATCAAACTTGGAATATTTTTATCCGGCTTCGTGGGAGCCATGGACAATGATAAAAAATGGTTTCTGGAAACGAAAATTTTTTATGTTAACTACATAGGATAACTGAATATTGGTGTCCACAGGCTTCTTAAAAAAACGCTCAACGAAAAATTGCTGAGGCCAGAAGACTGCGTCAAGATCTTCGACCACGTTTCCCAGCAAGGCGCGGGGGCGAGAAATATTACGATGGATTTTATCCGAAGGAACTGGCCTTCTATGTTCTTCATGTACGTATCGCATGTTTTTGAGTTAGCCTGGATAATAGTATCAGGCTGAGGCTGCAACGCTTCCAACATATATCTTCAATGGCAACTCAAGAAAAGAAGGGTATGGCTTATTGCGTTCTCACTTCGTATCTCATGATTCGACCGTTGACCTTTTTATCGGCTTATGCCACAATATCATTGGCTGCGGAGTGATCATTTGGGGACTTTCCACGCCTTGCATTTCCTGAGTATTCAGTGACCCCAGACTGAATTCGGCGACAACGTTTCTGGGCAATGCAGTTGAAAGGTACTGGCACGCGTGCCCTCCCCCAGATTGAGCACTGATTAGAGCTGGGCGCGTTTCTCGTCTTTTCAGAAATAAAAAAAAAAAGTGTCCCCAAACATAAGAGAAAAGTACATCGGTAATTTAACCCCATGTTATAAAAAAAAAATATTTGTTTAAATTTTGATTTAGCAACAAACTTCGTGTAAGGCCCATCGAGATATTTTGAGCTGGCGAAAATCAGTTGTCTGCGTGAAAGAGATGCTGAAATGAAATTTGTAGCTCACAAAACAAGGCTGGAGCGATAGGCAAGACGCTGAGAAACCCCAAAATATCAGTTAAACAGCGTTATCTCTACCGGAAGGCCCTATTTTTGGAAAAGAAGTGCGCGATTGAACACGAACGACGAGCGCGACGAGACGTTTGACGTCGCTATCCTCATTCCCCCTCCTTTTCGCTTCGTCCCCTCGAGCAGGTGAACCGAAATGAGGAGAAGTAAAGCCACTTCCTTTCATTCTCAACCCTCCGAAGAGAGTCGTGACGTTACATTCCTCGCTTTTGGTTTAGCATCCGAATGCCGAATCAAAATTTGAAGTTCAAAAACAAGGCCGCAGAAGCGTTGAACGGGGCTGTACGAACGCCAAAACATCACTCATACTTCGATATCTCAAACGGATGGCAGTATTTTTGGAAAAGAAGGGCGCGATCAAGCGAGAAATGTGACGTCATGATTTTTTTAACAGTTGAGGATGAGGGGAAGTGGCCTTGCTTCTTTCTTCTCTTCGGTTCGCCTGCTTGAGGGGATAAAGCGAAGAGGAGGGGAAATGAAAATTACGACGTTACATGTCTTCGTTGGGCTCTTCGGCTGTGTTCAATCGTGCCCTTCTTTTCCAAAAATACGGCCATTCGTTAGATATAGCGCTGCATGAGTGACTGTATGAGTGGCTAATGTATAGGCGGGACGGTGCTTCGCAGCGTCTCGCCTATCACCCCAGCTTTGTTTTGTGAGCTCCACATTTCGATTCGGCATCCCTTTAAAGGTATGGTGCACCGAAATTTGAATTTCAGAAAAAACAATGCTGGGAGTTGTAGGCAGGCCGCTACAATCCCTCAGTACTTATCGTAAGCCGATATTTCAAATGGACGGCCGTATTTTGGAAAAAAGAGGTCGAGATTGAACCAGGCCGACGAGGCGCGTGACCGTGAAGATGACTAGTTTCCTCCTCTCTTCGCTTTGCCCCCTCAAGGCGGCGACGCGGAGAAGATGCGAGGCCGTTCCCTCTTCTTCGCGGAGAAATATGACGCGAACATTTCTGTCAAATGCGCCTCCTTTTCTTGAAAAATGCGGTCATCCGTTCGAGATATCTCTGCGTGAGTGATCTTTTGGTGTTTGTAGCATCCCCTTCCACGCTTTTGCCGCGTATTTTGTGGAATCCAAATTTCGGTTCAGCATCCCTTTAGGTCATTACTTCGAACTCTTTTTGTTCACGTGCCGCCCCTTTTTTGAAACGCACGGCGCAAGAGCACAAATATGCAGCTAACCTCGCCACCCCGTCGTCTCCTTCCGCACGATAAAGACTGTTTGCTATTGCTAGCGGTACCATGGCAACAAAGAGTCTTCTTCATGGAGGAACGTGCGAATGCAGCTTCTGAAGCCAGCAACGGGAGCTGCCATCTTCCGAATGTCGTCTGCTAACGTGAACGCCCCAACAATAGCCAGATTCGGACGCACCGTTGTGGATGTCGATGCTGAGAAAGGAAAGCGATCACTGGTGAACCCTTGGAACCTTTGGTGGTGCCGACGAGTCTTGGTGCACGCTCGGGCCTGAGCTTATATTAATGGGTGGTTTCATTTGAAATCGAACAAGCTTGTCGGGGTGGCTCTTTCGATTTTTTTAAAATATATGTGATTTCCCTATTTATGGAAAGAGCAAAACCGCTTTTCAAAATTTTGTAAAAAAATATTTCGCTTCACAAAAAATTATTGAGTGGAGCAGGGTGAAAATCTGTTTTTAACTCCGTGATTTTTCTACCCAGTTCTGTACGCTGGTATGAATACGGGAAGCATACAAAACTCACAGTAATTTTTTGTGCTCTTTTATGATTTTCGGACTATTTTTTAGTTCAAAGTAAAATACTTTTGTAGTTTTGTTTATTGAGGTAAAAAATGCCAAACATCGTCTCTTTGACAAAACGGTGACATCTTCAGAGCCTTGTAACTCATGAGTTATTATATTTGTCACTTGTTAAATACTATGCGGGTGTATCCCTATATATAGGCTATCGACGGGCATAAGTTTTGTTTTATTTTCACGGAATGTTTTATATAAAATTTGAAATATCGTCGAAAACGAAATTAACCGATATTTTGAACTCACTTTATCAAAAAAGGCCATTTTTTATTTCGTTCAAATGTTTTATTATTGCTGCCGATTATAAAAACTTTCAATTGGCTTGATGCGATTTGCCCCCTTTTTTGTTGTATCTTCTCTAGAAGTGATCCAAATCGCTCCTACGTGACAATGCGGTGACAACTTCAGAGCCTTGTAACTCATGAGTTATTATATCTGTCGCTCACCAAATACTATGCGGGTGTAGCCCTATACATGGAATATCGACGGGCATAAGTTTAGTTTATTTTATTTTCACTGAATTTTTTATATAAAATTTGAAATATCGTCGAAAATGAAATTAATTGATATTTTCAACCCACTTTATCCAAAAAGGCCGTTTATTACTTTGTTCAATCTTTTTATTATTGCTGCCGATCATATGAACTTTCAATTGGCTTGATGCGATTTCCCCCTTTCCTTGTTGTATCTTCTCAAGAAGTGATCGAAATCGCTCCCACGTTCTCTGAACGGCCAAACGCAGTTTCCGCAGGTCTGCGTCGCTGCAAAGACTATACTGCTTATCTGTGTGTTCAAATGCAGCGGGTAAATTCATTTCGATTGAGAACACTCGTGCTTGGCTACATTGTATTTTATTAATTTTTAATGATGGCAACTGACATTCCTTAGTCTGATATTTAGCGGTGCAGCGGATGTTCCATTATCCGATGTTTAAAGCCAGGGCACAAAGGGCGGAGAAAACAGAACGAGCGCTTCATGTAGCCAGACCGGGGTTATATACCTGTACAATCTTTGCATTAAGTTCGGTGCGACAAAGTGGAGAAACTAAAAATCTACAGAGACATTAAGTGACTGCTTTCGCTGCCTTCTTATGCATGTGGGAATCCTTGCTTCTTGGCATCAGAGATATCGATCCAGTCTTGAACAAAACCCAACACTTTTATTTTTAACTGCACACACTCGTTCAAACAAAAGGGCCACCGTCTCAGGTTCTAGCTTTGGCTCCAGTTTTCGTTCTGTCCGTCTCGACTTACCACGCTGTTGAACTTCTCGGGTGCATCCGACCGCTGCGGTACAAAGTTCAGCTCGCCCCCGCGCTCGATCATCTCCACAGGCAAGCCGATGCCGTTGTCAAAAAGTTCCAATATTGCGTTGCTTGTGAACTGGACTATTTAAAGCACAACAACATATTGTAACGTAGAAAATTAGGTCGTACCCCGAACCTCCACCACTTTTGTCACGAAGAAATTAAGGACTTCTCTTCTTCGTTGAGGAAACGATTACTGATGTTAACAAATCACAACTGTTTATTTAAGAGATAGGATATAAAATCTTTTACAACAGATATGGCCAATTTGTCAATAAATGTTGGGGTGAATAATCCTAACCTCTGGCGACTTCCCCTGCCGTCCTCCGAGACCGCACTTTCAGCGGGTGCCCCGACCACAGCCAAACTCGACAAACAAGGATCCACACAAAGGCGGGCGAGCCGAACTCCTCCACAGCCGTAAGGGGTCCCAAGTTTGCGAGTTATCGGTCCCAAGTTTGCGAGCTAGCGGGCGGAAGACTCCACAGCCGAAGTGGGTCGGACGTACAGGTTGGCCTCCAGAGGCAGGGAGATGTCCAGGGCTTGGTATCCGGGAGCCAAGTGCCTTACGGCCCCTCGGTGGCCTCTTATTACAAGTGCATCCTAAATATATCAGCGTTAATTAATAAAAGTGACTATTTATCGCCAATTGGTGTTTGTGTTCTGTAAAAAATTGTCTTCGCTTCAAGTAAACTCAGTCCGTTTTCCTCACTTTTTTTCTGCAAACTGCTTTTCCTTCTTAAAGAGGGTCATGTGATATTACATATTTTTATATCCACGCTGACAATAAAGAACAGACGATTACATGGTTATTTGATCGCACGCGACAAGACACATCATAGATTGGCGCCCGTGCCGGATGCTTCCCTGGGTGTAACGAAGATTGGCCTATAGCGCGAAGGGCCGGGCATGCTGTACGTGCCTTACAAGCTGTGTATAGCACAAACAGATATATGACCCCGGTCTGGCTACATGAAGAACTCGTTCCGTTTTCTCCGGCTTTTGTGCCCTGGCTTTAAACATCGGATAATGGAACATACGCTGCACCGCTAAATATCAGACTAAGGACTGTCTATTGCAATCATTAAACATTAATAAAATACAATGTAGCCAAGCACGACTGTTAATTCTCAGTCAAAATGAATTTAACCGCTGCATTTGAACGCACAGATAAGCAGTATAGTCTTTGCAGCGAAGCCAACCTGCGGAAACTGCGTTTGGCCGTTCAGAGAACGTGGGAGCGATTTCGATAACTTCTTGAGAAGATACAACAAGAAAAAGGGGAAATCGCATTAAGCCAATTGAAATTTCATATGATAGGCAGCAATAATAAAAAAATTGAAACCAAATAATAAATGGCCTTTTTGGATAAAGTGGGTTGAAAATATCAATTAATTTCATTTTCGACGATATTTCAAATTTTTTATTAAAAAATCAGTGAAAATCAAATAAACTAAAATTATTCCCGTCGATATTCCATGTATAGGGCTACACCAGCATAGTATTTGGTGAGCGACAAATATAATAACTCATGAGTTACAAGGCTCTGACGTTGTCACCGCATTGTCACGTGGGAGCGATTTCGATCACTTCTAGAGAAGATACAACAAAAAAAAAAAAAAAAGGGGGAATTCGCATCAAGCCAATTGAAAGTTTATATAATCGGCAGCAATAATAAAAAAATTGAACAAAATAAAAAGTGGCCTTTTTTGATAAAGTGAGTTCAAAATATCGGTTAATTTCATTTTCGACGATATTTCCAATTTTATATAAAAAATTCAGTGAAAATAAAATAAAAAAAACTTATGCCCGTCGATAGCCCATGTACAGGAATACACACGCATAGTATTTAATAAGTGACAAATATAATAAATCATGAGTTACAAGGCTCTGAAGATGTCACCTGATCGTCAAAAAGACGATGTTTGGCATTTTTTACCTTAATAAGCAAAACTACAAAAGTATTTTCCTTTGAACTAAAAAATAGTCCGAATAACATACAAGAACACAAAAAATTACTGTGAGTTTTGTATGCTTCCCGTTTTCATACCAGCGTACACAACTGGGTAGAAAAATCACGGAGTAAAAAACAGATTTTCACCCTGCTCCACTCAATAATTTTTTGTGAAGCAAAATATTCTTAAAAAAAATTTGGAAAGCGGTTTTCTTCTTTCCGGAAATGGGGCGAATGCATATATTTGAAAAAAAGTCAAAAGACCCACCCTGACAAGCGTGTTCGATTTCAAATGAAACCACCCTAATGTTTTCCTGAGTGAAGTGAGAGGCGACCGCGCATAGCGCGGTGTGTTTGGCAACCTAGCTTGGAGCCCAAGCTAGAATTGCCGCGTTGGTAGCAGATGGCACTTGGGAGATGGCGCGGCTGTAGCTGGCTTCAGATGCTGCGTTCGCATGCGCGCCTGGTGACATTTGGTGACTGAAGTTTGTATATAAAAAGAAGGTGGACTATCAAGATCAGGTGCCGACTTGGGCTCCTTCGGTTTGCTTTTTAATTGTCTGAACGCGAATGAGAAGAGTTAGAAATAAGGACTTAACGCAGATGACTGAGTGTCTAGAGCGCGTAGTAATTTCAAACCAAAGCACCTAACACCAGAAGCACCAAAAGCCTTACACCAAAAACACGTTGTTTTGGACATCTGACGACTGTTTTCTCCCCTTGCAACATGGGGCTAAATTATCACTCTGGCAGGAACAACACTCTTGGCCTCTTTGTTTCAGGTGGAAGGATAAATTCCTGGAAATTCTCATCCAAATGTCATCCAGAATATTGGATGAGAAAGAATTCAACGAAGTGAGTTCGGAACGAACGTGATGCGAATCAACAGGTAACTCTAGGCTTTAAAACACGCGTCCTGTTTTTCAGATGAGAAGCCTATACTACAACTTCAACGACACAATGGCGGAAGTTACCTGGGCGTTCCAGCAGTCAAGTCACAACGTCATCTCAAACTCAGCATGGATGAACTCTCAATATAAAGACATACAGAAGTGGCTCCAAGCTAATATCACCTAGCGCTTGTGGTGTGAATAAACTCTCGCACCTGCGCCCGAGTAAATGACATCGATCATTTCAGTGTCATTGATTATATTTCTGAAATAAGTACCACGCATTATTTTTTTTAGTACAGGGAATCGCATTTTTTTTATGGCGTATTCCACATTCAGTAAAGCAGCTAATCTGTGTGCCCACTTCAACCAGCCGAGGACATTTTCTTTTTGGGGAACGAACAGGATCTTTCAGTAAGACTGGACTCTCCCATTAACGGTTTGCGCCGGCATGCTTACTTCCCGTGGGAAGAACGCCTAAAAATAGCGCTGCCATTTCGACAAACTAGCGGAATTGTTGGGAAGAGGCGCCGCGGTTGCTGGACAGCCCATATAAAAACAAGTTTGGAAAAGCATCGACAAAGATATTATCTTTCACATATCAAGGCACATTCTAAAATTTGACATTTTGTTAAAGTTTGTTTGAGTCATAGTACGTATAAAATATAAGAGTTGACAACGTGCTTCCCAACATCGTGAGAAAAAGAAAACCAAAAAAACTGACAATGTCTGCAGAAATTACAGTAGGCTGGGGCATGGCCATGGTTTTGTCTAAACGTCGATACACTGAAAAATGCAAATACTCGAGAGGTTCTCGTCACTATTAGTACTACTTTCACTACTGCAAAAAAACAGGTCATAAACGTGCCCGAACGTTATCTTTAAAATAAGTGGGTCCGAAACTGCTACCTAGCTGTAATTTCTAACATTTTTTGACGGGTTCTACATGGCCTAGATTCGCTTTTAATAAAACAGCACTTTACGCGTCGTGTGACAAACCCAAATATATGTCTACTTCGTGACTGACAGCTTAAGAAACACAGGACGCGACTTATTGTCTTTACTCTTTTCGTGATTTGTTGATCGGTGCTCTTGACGGCAATGCCGCTGTCTCCTTGTATGCGGTGCGACAATAAAATGCTCGTGACTTGCGATACCCTGTTTATTTTAGCTGTCAGAGACTACAAAATAACTTATATTTCTTTACTAGCATCTATATTTCTAGTAGCCCATGCGTCGTGTGTCACTAAAGCAGCCTATCTTACTTTAGTAACGCAAGACCTTAGGCTGGTCGTATGACCTGTTTGGACTAGAAAACCGCATTTGTGGTGTTGATATCTTTCGTAGTTATTTTGCTGAGGTTTTTAATTTATTAAAAATAAAAATGAAGAGGTGCACGCAACAGAAATAGAAAACTCTGTCACCTCTCAACATAGTCACCCTGGAGTTTCATGCATTATTTATTATCTGCAATGCCGACGCCGACTGCATGATTGCTGAAAAGACTATAGCTTGCAGATCTGTCTAGACCAGGGGTCTCCAAACTTTTTGGCTAAGGGGCCGGATTGGCGACCTGTCGGAGTCTCTAAGGCCGGAAAATAAATAATACAAGATATATGAGGAAATAATAAAATAAATAAGCCTTAATAAGCATTTAAATAAAAAAAAGCTAGAGCAACACACAAAAAAAAAGTAAAGTGGATGAATATGTATACCTTTTTTAAATGCAATATGCTGCTAATTGTGACAAAATAATTGCGACCCATGGAACTCAACAAGCTTAAACCAAAGCGCATAAGAACTTAGACATATTTTCACGCGGCAGACGACTGACGAGGATGGTGGATCTGATGAGAATTTATGCGAGCGTTATGACACAATACACTATACTTCGTTTCAGCTTCGGTCCAGACGCGGCCGATGCTACAAGCGCGAGCATGTGGCCCAGAACAGTGCTTGCACTGCACGAGCGCGCGTGCTTGGCAGGGATGCTGAAGGCCCGGAGCTCGCGCTTGTAGCTTTGGCTGCGTCTGGACCGAAGCTGAAACGAAGTATAAGCACGATATACATGAGAACACAAAGAAATTTTGTTATCGCTACGCAGACATAAAGCTGGGAACTACGAGCGCGTGATGCTGGTGATGACAACCCGCGTTTTGATGAAGTCTTCTTCCATTATTTTTGATATATTAATTTGCGCTTTTGGCGCTCGTCGCAGCGCCATTTTTTTTTGTACGGGCGCTTGTTTTTGCGTTTGTAGCAGCGGGCCGTGGGCCGTTCGTCACCGGGAAAGATCACGGCCTTTTGCCTTCTGCAGGTTAGATCTGGCCCACTGGCCAGGGTTTGGAGACCCCTGGTCTAGGCCACTGGAATACAGCTGACGGACATCCTGGCCGGGATTCGAACCCGCTACCTGGGGATCCGTAGGCCAGCACCTTGCCTCGGTCTCCCGAGGAGGCTATATAGTGATTATTAACCAGGTTGCAATCGCATACCTCGCCCAATGGTAACCAGTACCAGATATTGCTCAGTGAGATTACGCTCCTTCTTCAGTCATGCATTTGTTTTAGCTTACACGCGCTCACGACTACGTAGTTTACCACAAAGTTTTAGCAGGCAAACGAGACGCAGTTGTAGCGATGGCTACGTTTTAATTTCGAGTCACGTTGGTAAAATCGCTCTCTTCAAAGAAGACGTCCGAGGCGTTGCCGCCTCCGATGGTGGCGTTGTTGGTGATGTTTCCGCGCATCACCTGGTCGTCCAAGATGAACTCGGTGACGTCTCGTTTGAGCCAGCGCGACACCTCGGCGTAGTGATTCATCATCCAGTGGACGTTGCGGTTGGCGCTTTCTTTGATGCGCTCCAAGGCCGCCTTGTGCGCATCTAGCGACGCCCCGTGTTCTTTGAACAGGTCGGTCACCTACGCACGAGACAAGTGTTTAACGACAGTCTTGGTGAATCCTCGAGGCCAGAGTCATTTATAAAATCCGCTCAGAGTAAGTACACTCCATTCCCCGATCGTCGCGGAGGCGCCGCCATTGTATCGCCTATCGCAAAACGGGCTTGAAGCCGAGCCACCGCTACTCACGCTTAGAGAAGAGTATAGACAGTAAAATCAATAGGATTTAAATCATACTAGTTTTTCTATGATAATTTAAAATAAAAATTTTCAGAAAAAATAGCCTCGAAAGAAGCTTTATCTGGCTTTTGGCTTTCACTTGATACTTTTTATATGCATTTGACTCGTATCTCGATGGAAGAACCATCAAGCAAGAACGATTCATAAAAGCCTGAACAGGAGCAAAAGGAAGTGGTATTTTAAGTAAATCGAAGCGTCGAGCTTGATTTCGTGTTCGCCAGCTATACGTAACGTCCTATTGCCACAAAATCAAAAAAAGAAAAAAAAAAAGAAAGAAAGAAGGAACAAGATTTAGAAATATAATGTCTCATTGCAATTAAGTCATAACTAAAAAAATAGAAAAATATAGTTTTTTAACCAACAAAGGAATGAAGCTGGTTTCGTTTCATACTTTGTTTTAAGTTTGAGCGTAGCTCCGGCCTTTCAGCGTCTCTGACAAGCACGCGCGCTTGTGCACTGCAAGCACTGTTCAGGGTCGCATGACCATGTCCGATCACTTATCAGTGATTGGCCATGTGTCAATTTGCCATGTTGAAGAACGCATCTAGTGGTAATATTTTTTAGCTACAGTGATTTAAATAACATTAACCTGATTGAATAAATTCGACTTACTGGATTAAAAAAATCAAGATTTTTTGTTTGCACTGATTTAGAGGATCGGCCTTCATCCCTCAATTTTCTTGCAGGCAGCGCCGTTTTTATTTTATACAGCTCAGGCCAGGCATAATCGACCCTTTTCAAAATCCTATCAAGCAACACTGACGGTCGCCATTGCTTGGAAATGAAGCGCGTGATTGGATCAGAGTCCTCGCCAAACGCTGACGTCATCACTCGTGTCCAATACAAGTACAGTGTACTAGAATACTTGGGTAGTGTTGGGACCGGAGCGGCTCGGCAGCGGGAGCTCGTGAGGGCGTGTGTATTGACAGTTCGTGGCGGCGCTGTAGTCGAGTTATCCAAAAAAAATCGCTCAGCCCGACATTTTTTTTTTTTTTTTTTTACACTTTGAGCGGTGCACGTGTCGGTACCACGATTTTATACACTCCGCTTCACCTTATGTTATACCGCAGCGAAGGCTAGAAGCGCGAGCTCATAGCGTTGGGAGCTACTCTTAACGCACGAGAGCTTGTGCCGCCGAGATGTGCCATAGAGCAAGGAGCTCGCGCTTGTAGCCTTTCCTGTGGTACAACACAAGGTGAAACAAAGTATAGGGCACATAAAAAAAAATCGGTATTTTCAAATCTTTTTTTTTTTATTTTTGCGGTGGGCAAAGGGTTAATGAACCGTTTAATTGGCCATGTTGCAATTGCAGCTTTAAAGGGAGCCATTATTAAAGGCCAACCCACTTTGGAAAGTTCGCGAACAAACAACGAGCTTTGAGCGAAAGCAACAAGGCGCTCGTTTTTGTTGTGTTTGTCCGTCCCTTCTCGTTTTCTTCCTCAAGCTTAATTATCTCTACAAACCTGCTCGTTCTGTCCTGAGATATTCATCAAATTTTGCCTTTCTTCGCTTAATTAGGAAACCGCGCGCTGAAAGCGCGAATGAGGTTGTGCTGATATTGATGCGTAGATGAATGACACAGTTGTTTCTGTCCCCTAGTTCGTCACTAACTTGACACCGTGTCTTCGGTAAACTCGCCGGTGCCACGCATCAAGACGACTAAGTCACTATTCTACGTATTATTTTAATAACGCAGTTTCTGAATCAAGTGAAGAAAGGCAAACTTTTACGATAAATTTCGCGAACCTCGTTGCCTTTTCGCGAATGGTGAAAATTGTGTTTGCCTTTAATAATGACTCCTTTTAAAACTGCTATTGCACCATGGACAATTAAGTCGTTAATAAAGAAGTTAACTAACAGATTTTGGTTAAATATTAAACACTGCAACGGTTATTTACCCATTCATTGTCCACCGAGCCCTACAGATATAACGAAAGACGGCATCCACATATCTGCCACATCCTTTTTTTTTTGTTTGTAAAATATGAAGAGTTCTGTAAAGAATAA